CTACATAAGGGTATGAACACCAGGAAGTGAGGGTCACCAGATCTATATTGATGACTGGCTGCCACAGGCTGAATAAGAGATCTGTACTAGAGGGGGTTCTGGGGTCAGGGGTCATGAAGGAAGAAACTTATAGATCTAAAGTTGGGGAACCATGGAGCCTTGGGAGTATATTAGTTTCCTAGGGCTGCCAAATGAAGTGTCACAAATGAGATGGCTTAGAACAACAGCAATTTATTCTCTCCCAGTTTTGGAAGCCAGAGATTCAAAATCAAGGTGTTGGCAGGGCTGACTCCTTTTGGAGGTTCTGAAGGAGGATTCACTCCTAGGCTTTCTCCTTGGCATTCCTACATCTGTAGGAGCATCATTCCAATCTCTATCTGTCTTCATATGGTCATCTTCTCTCTGTGCATGTTTCAAATTTCCCTCGCCTTCCTCTCTTTTCATTCTTACTTTTTTTTTGAGTTAGGGTCTTACTGTGTCACCCAGGCTGGACTGAGTGGCAGGATCATGGCTTACTGCCGCCTTGATCTCCTGAACCTAGGCAATCCTTCTGCTCTAGCCTCCCATGTATCTGGGACTACAGGTGAACACTACCAAACCTGGCTAATTTTTTGATTATTTTGTAGAGACAAAGTCTCACTATGTTGTTTAGGCTGGTCTCAAACTCCTGGGCTTAAACAATCCTCCCATCTTTGCCTCCCAAAGTGCTGGGATTGCAAGTGTGAGCCAGCTCTATACACTATTTTTATTTCCCCAACAGATGGCAATCTTCTGATAAGTATCATGTCTTATACTTGTTCATATATCCTGTGGTATTTAGCATAGGGTTAACTAAGCAAATGGAAAATCTCTAGTGGCTCCTGTATTTATCACCTCATTCTAAAAATGACTTGAGGTTGCATATAAAGATACAGACAACTTCTTGAGATAAAATATAATAAAAAAGTTGTGAAGGAAGAGAAAATGAATATAGGACAGAAAAAAGATTAAACCAGGAATAAGGTTAGTGTTCCAAGGAGAAGTCCCAATATCCTGTACTTTGTTAGGAAGGGGGGCATTAATTTGCTCTGAGCTTTCTGTCAGCCATCAAAAAGAGGGAATCAAAAAAGCATTTAACTGAATTGCAAGTATCCTTATTTAGGAGAAAGGAAGAAAGAAAAATCACCTGTTCAAGACAAGAATAGTTATGCCTTAAGTATTGAAGCCAATAATAATTTTATTATGTGTTCTCATAAAGAGAACACATATAGGTATGAAACATCTATGTCTTCTCTAAAAAATGTGTCTTCTTATAGAGGTTTTGCTTAGCTGTCTCTTGCTGTAAATGCACATAGCAAAAAAACCTGTTGAATTCACTATAACTACCACTTCAAGGAATTAAAATGCAACCCCAAACACACAATTTTCTGATGATATGTTCTTTTTTAAGGATAACATTTATAGTATCTTGACTGGAGGAGTGAGTTGGTTGGGTAAGGGGAATGTTTTTGCTTTAAATCAAAACAAAACAAAAATTTGTTTTTAGTGTTTGGTTAAAAAATAAAGCTATATGGCACATAATTAGTTACTAAATTCTACAGTGTTTCATGGGGAAACCTAAGAGTAGCACCACCCCCACTACATTTCTTCTTCTCCTGAGGCAATTTGCTGTCAACTCTTTATAGTTTTTATTTTTATTTTTGGTATTTCCTCAGTATCTAAGTATTTTGCTTATATTACATTTTGACTTTTTCATTTGTTGCATTAACGATTGACTTTCTTTACACTAACAGGGTTTAGTTCTCTCTACTCCCTCTGCTTTCACAGTCTGTATGCACATTTTCAATACACAACTCCTTCCCCATACTCCTGATGTAATTTAATTTTAATTTTGGTTACATCAACTCAGAGTTTCCATTTTTATGATGACAAATGCTATTAGAGCTCAGATATGTTACTTTTATTTTTTCTCATCATCCTTCTGTTCTTCAAGTTAATAATTGCATTTTTGCTGTTACTTAGTTTTCTTTGTACTTATCAATGCAATTTATCACCAGATGTACTGCCATTTGCTCACATCTCCTCTCAAAACATTTATTGTCAATTTCATCTTCATGAAGAAAATTCTCCTGGAGCCCCTGATTTGCTCCTATATGAACCATTTGCCCTGTACTCCTAGGACACTCTCTTCATCGCTGAATATTTCTCTTAACCTGTTTTTAATATTAGATCCCCTGTTTCTTATATTCTGTGTGCTCCTTTTCTTGGTTTTGGGTCATTGTTTTGATGGAATAAGTTATTCAGTGGCATGAGAGGCAAATTTATTTAAAATGTCTTTTCATTTGTTTAAAATGTCTTTTCATTTCTCATACATGATTGAGAGTTTGACTGAGTTTAGAATTCTCGACTGAAAATAATTTTCCTTCCAAATTGTGAAGACATCAACCTATTGCTTTTTAGCTTACATTGTATTTCACAAGTCTAAAGCTATTCTGATTCCTGATCCTATGTATGTAATCATTTTCTCCCTTCCCTTCCTCCTTCACCTCCCCCTGTCTTCCTTCTTCCCCTGTTCTAATTTTTTTTCTTTTTTTTGAGTCGGAGTCTCACTCTGCTGCCCAGGCTGAAATGCAGTGGCATGCTCACAGCCACCGCAGCCTCAACCTACTGGACTATCCGTCTGCCTTAACCTTCCAAGTAGCTGGAACTACAGGCATGTGCCACAATGCCCAGCTAATGTTTTGATTTATTGTAGAGATGAGGTCTCGCCAAGTTGCCCAGGATGGTTTTGAACTCGTGGGCTCCGGCAATCCTCTCACCTCAGCCTCACAAATTGCTGGGATTATAGGTGTGAGTCACCCTTCCCAGCCTGTTCTGAAATTTTATGATAGAATTATTTAGTTTGGGTGTATTTTCCTTCATCATGCTGAATAATCCTTTGAATCTAAAAAGTTATACTCATCAATTTTGGGAAATTCCATTGAAGTTTTCTAAAATCATTTTTTCCTGTCCTTGTTCTCTGTTTTCTTATTTCTGAAAATCCTATTATGTAGACGTAGGATCTTCTGGATCGCTTCTCTAATTTTCTTACCTTTTCTGTTCTTTTAGTTATACTTTGGAAAAGATTTTCTCAGCTGTATGATATCTAGAAGTTAGATCTTTTGACCCCCAAATTGCTTTTATTTTTGTTATCATATTATTAACTTCTAAGAATTTTTTTCCTTGTCTCATGGATAAATTTTAACTTCTCTTTCCAAAGGTAGTCGTGTTTTTTTCTTATAATAAGTTTTTTCTTTTAATTTTTAATTTGTGCTATAATGTTTCTGATGTACAATCTACTCTCTTAAATCTTTGAATATATTACATTTTCTCCCTGCTGATCTCTTCCAAATTACCTTCTGTAGTTGATTTTAATCCCTTCCTGAATGTTAACCATTTTTCAGATGAGGGTTAATCTTTGGTTTACTCTTCATGTTTAAGGAGAGGGTCTAAAAAACTTGTGGGTGGGACTTACTGACTGAGTTTCATTGAAGGGTGATCTTTTTGAGCTTATTGTTGGCAGTCCCCATGTTGGTATCTCTAGTTAGGTCCTCTGGGGCTGGTCAGATTTTCAAGAGTAGACATCATATTTCCTGTGTGGGAAGAAAAAATTTTTTACTAGCACTCTTCAAGCTGAGTAGGGGAAAGACTTCAAGTTTCAGAAAGCATAGTCACATGATCACCCTTGTTTTGGAACAGCACCCTTACTTGCAATTGTGCCTGGTGTACCATAGTCTAGACACACTTCTTTGACCTTCTCCAGAGAATAAAACTATTTGTCTGTTGAGATAAACAATAAGTGTGGAGTTGAGGAGGGGATCTGTGGATGAAATTGTTTTTTAAACAGCTTTCATCTGATCGTCCTCATCTCAGCTACCACCTCCTTCCCATCCCTCATCACCATCTTTTCCAGAGGTACCTGATGCTGCTAATTACTGAGGCTTTTGAAGATTCTGCAGAGTAAGTTCTATTGGGTCTTGGCTTTTCCTACTGCCAGCTTAAGATTTGGCTTTCTCAGATGTTGTCAGTTATCACTTATTCATCTGCTCTTCAGCTTCCAACATTAATTTTATTGCTGCTGATTTCTCTATCATTTTTCTTTTTTTTAATGCTTTGTGCTTAAAAAGACATCTTTATTGTAGCTTTAGTGATGTTTCTGAGTGAGTGAAAGAGGTGTGCGAACAAGGCCCCCATCTTTGCCAAGATGTCCTGGCATCATTTCTTACTACTAAGCTTTTAATGAGTATTGGGAATAAAGTTTTAAAATATAGCTGAAATGTAGATAGGCAGCTTTGCTAATTAAAAACAAGTCTATCATAACTAACTTTATGTGTGAAACACATTAATTTTCTAATTTACTTCTCAGATTCTTATGAAAAAGATACTGTAACTATCTTGATTTAATAGGTGAGGAAAATTAAGACTTGGAGCGTCTGAGGAACATACATAGGGTCACTGTAGCAGTAGTAGGATATCTAACTCCAGAGCCTGAGTGTTCTTAAACACTAAGTATCTCTGCCTTCTTCATATTCAACACCAGCTATGCTAGAGCTAAGATTTTATTCATGTAGAAAAGTTTAGAACTGTAACTGAGGCTCATGACTAAATGGAAAGCCAGTCTATTGCTACACTTCTTGTTCTAGGATGTTATCACCCACAATGAAGCTGAGAGTCCCTTAAGTCTATTCCATGCTAGAACTGTAGTTCTAATGTCAACCTAGGACCTTGGGACTGGGCAAAGGAGTAGAGGTTGCAGGAATGGTCAGTTCCTACTGCCTTGATGGCAGTTCCATGGGTGACTTCCACCAGCCTGTCTGCATGTATTTTACCATTTTAGAGATTCATGCTGCAGTGATATGTCATCAGTGGACTTTTCGGTGCTGGTTGTATGTTGTCATGTTCTACTTAGTAGGAGCTGCTGACTCATAGCTGGGTGAATAAGATGTGATGAATCATTTTCTTTGATTTTCTTTTGGTTAAAGCTGGAGGAATTGAAGAATATGCAGCAGCAATACTTACAGATTAACCAAGAGATCACTGAGTTATGTCCACTGAAGCAACAAGTTAAAGAACGTCAAGATAAAGCAAAAACATTTCAAATTATGCAAGAGGAGCTCAGGCAGGAAAACCTCTCCTGGCAGCAAGAGCTGCATCAGACCAGGTTTGATAATTCCTCCTTTTCAACTCTTTTCATTTTCTTTTAACTTTTTATTTTGAAATAACTATAGGTTTATAGAAAGCTGCAAAAATAGTACAGAGAACTTCTATGTACTCTTCACCTGGTTTCCTTCAGTGGTAGCGACTTATATAATTGTAGTACAATGTTAAAACCAGGAAACTGACATTGGTACAATTCACAGACCATATTCAGATTCCACCAATTTTCTACGCATTCATTTGAGTATTTGTGAGTATTGTTGCATGCAGTTTTGTCACGTGTGTTCCGGTAGACATCACCAAAGCCAAAATACAGAATTACTCTGTCACCACAAATATGTCTTTTGTGCTACTAGTTTATAGTCACATTCTTTCCTCCCTTTCCTCTCTTGCATTCCTACCTCTGGAATCCACTAATCTGTACTCCATTCCTATAATTTTGTCATTAAATGGAGAAGTTCTTGTATTAAAGAAGCAGAAAAAAAGAGACAGAAATCAGTAGAGGCTGCCATCTTCCTTGAATCTTATTTGCCTACTAGCCTTTAATAAATGAAAAAAATTAGTAAATTTCTCCAGGTCAGGTGTGATGTAGTAGGAATACAAGAACACGAGGCTTAAAGACAAATCTGTGTATTAAATTCTGGTTCTGTCACTTGTGGGCTGTGCCACCATGAGCAAATTATTTAACCTCTTTTAAGCCTTACCACAGCAACCTCAAAACTTGAGGACTAACTGTGTGTAAAGCACTCGACCTAGTCCCATACACAGAAGGCAGTCAAATCCTGGTAGTTATTGTCATCTCCTACTGCTGCTGAAAGAAACCTGTCTGCTGGTACACACCTTGCATGGGGCAGCGACTGTGGGAGCAGCCTTTGCTTCAAGTCCTCTGTGCTGCATCATGTGGTAAGATGACTGGGAAGACTTCCTTGATCAGCCTCTCATGCTGTGAACCAATACCATGCCTCTTTTTTCCCTCAACGCAGGTTGGAACACAATCAATGGGATTCTCCCCAAACCCCTGTTATTGGCTCCTGTGGCACTCAGGAGCAGGCAGTGATAACAGATACCATAAGCAACAGTTGTCAAAGGGTAAGAAGGAAAAGGATAAAGAGAGATGGTTCTACTCTCAGACAGAGTTGACTATGTGGGCTAAGACAGGGCATGTGGAAGTCCAGCCACTGAGCAGCTGAAGGGTCTAAGCCTGGAAAGGTATAGGAGAGTGGAGGAGACCTAGTAGAATTTGCCAAGTCATTGACCCCGAGGGGACTTTCCTCTCAGGATCTCCCTTTTCTGCAGTGGTTGGCTCAGCTTTGCTTAGATGCAATACGACTGGGGAAGGAGAGGGACATACCCCTATAGGGTGCAAACTCTCTGACTTTCAGATTTTTCTTGCAAACCCAGAGTGTTACTGTATGGAAGCAAGTTTTGCGTTCACTCTGCCCTTCCTGGACCCGAGGGCCACTGCTAGCAGTCATCTGCTTTCTGATGATTCATGTCCTACTCAATCTATGCTTCCCAGGTCACCTTTGGACTTAGTTTTCACTTTTTGGACCACTCCTCTCAAACCTTTCCTCACCTTCAACATCAGGACAATCAACTCCAATGGTACAGTCTTCTCATTGACAGGTCTTCACTCCAACTCTCCACAGAAAGTGTCTGCAAAACCAGAGGTGGCTTTGAGGACAGGCTTAATATTTGTTCAGATTTTGCAGGGTCCTGATCTTTTGTGGTTCTGTAAAAGATAACTGAGGAATGCCTTACTACTCAAGCCAAATGCATGGTTCCAATAAATCCAATAAATTGAAGCTCAGTATCATTTTGATTGATAACTTTCTTTGCCTCATTTGCCTGTATACTATCCTGCTTCTGGGGGTAGGTGGCTCTGCTGTAAATAGTGCTCAAGGGATTAAACACATCACCTCACAGGACATCTGATTAGGTCTCACAGAATAGGAAACTGAAGAACTCTCCAGGGGTTTTAGCTGATAGATCACAGAGGAGGACAGTGTCTTCTTCCCTGGCTGTTCAACATAATTGGAGGAACAATTTTTTGGTCCTGGACTGTAAGGATAGGATCCCATTGCTTTTGCCCTTGATCACATGAATATTAGGGTATTAAATGGCCTGTGTCCTTCACTAAGGAAATAACTGTCTGTGGACAGCAGAGTTCAGATTTCTGTTATTCCTGTGTTATGGGTGTAGGACCTGAGGGCCCCAAGATGGTGCCCAAGGGCCTGAGGGTCAGACTTAGATGAGGTATTGGCCCTCAGTCTGCAGTCTGACTGGTCTGACACCACACTTCAAACTCCCAGTCTCTTGGAATACTAAGCTATTTGCTGTTAGTGACATTTATTTCTGTTTGTCAGCCCTATAATCTCTGCCCTTTGTGGTACTGAAAGGAAAATATAGAGAAGACAAATTATTTAAATCTAGACCTGAAAAGGCCTGTCAGGATGGAATTCCACTTGTGCCTACTCCCTCCATCCTCTCCTCTCCCTCATCCTACCAGTTGCTGCTTTTCTTATTATGTCCATAATATGTTCCCTGCCTGTTCTCACCCCTGAAGAAGAGAGAAGATTGGTGACTGATCGATAAACTCTAAATCATCTGTTGTGATTAAATCTTGGCCACAATATCACAGGAGCTTTTCTGAAAAACTGCAAAATAATAAAATTGTTTTCAGAATGAAGAGTTGTAGTGTGTGTGTGTGTGTGTGTGTGTGTGTGTGTGTGTATGTGTGAATGTAGGTGTGCCCAGGTGCTTATGTACCTGTGTTTGCATGCTGTGGAGAGGAAGGTAGGGACTGAGCAGCCAGAAATGGGTACAAGAATAGATGTGTCTAACATTCACTCACTGGACTTAGCAGCTAGACTCCAGGATCATGAATGCAGTGAGGAAATTCCATCCAATGCTGAACCAAACAAACTGGGCCTTGGGCATGAAATTCATGTATGGTCCTGAGAGAGCTCTGGTATAGTACATCTTGAAAGGCCCTGGAGTTCCCTCTGGGTGGGAATGAAGGAAGGGAAATTTAATGTCATATGGCAGGCTAAATAGATATTCTATGTTTTTATAGTAAGTTGTTTTGCTTGAGAAGAGGTAACCCACTTTCTCAAGACACAATAAGTGGCTAAATCAAACAAAGTCTATCTGGCTTCAAGGTCCATTCTGTTGTTGTGTGCTACACCTCACTACCTCATCATGAATGAACTTGGAAGATTTGCTAAATAGAATTGAGATTTCTTGGTGTCATCTCTGATTAAATTCTGTGGTTTCTCCAGACAACTATATATCTGAGTGGTGTCATAATATCTGGGCTAATTCTTATTTTGACACTACAGGAGGATTCCAAATGATCTAAAAGACTTTTTTCCTGTCTGCAGTTTACTCTTCCTTTAAAAGATCTTTGGTGCCACCATGATAAACAGGTCATGAATTAGGAGAGATAAATAAATAAAACTCCCCTCGGGCATAGAGTCATTAGATTTGGAAGTGACCTTAGAGGCTTTCTATTCCTAATGCTGACTTGCTCTCCTCTATCATGGACCAGTTTCATCCAGTCCCACTTCAACACCCTGGCGATTTCATCATTGTGAGCAAATTGGGTAGGAACTCCATGGACAAGATTAGGAGAGGGTAGGTCAGATAGAAGAACAATCACCCCCAAATTCTCAGCAGATAAATTAATGTTTTTAGTCAAATACTCCAAGTCCGTCAAGTGATGGATGGCACTCCACTCGGGTTGTTGCCATTCTTACTCAGGGACCCAGGCTGCCAGAGGAGCCACTCGAGAGTTGCAGGTACCTTGGTGGGAAAGAGCATGGCAAAACTCACAGTGGTCTTAGTCTCCACCAGAAAGTGATGTCTGTCCCTGGCCAGAACAAGTCACCTGAGCATGTCTGACTTCAAGAGGGAAGAAGTGGTGGTGGGGGGGAGGGGGAGGGTGCGACAAATCTTAATGAACAGCAATACAGCATACCACAAAGACCTCTGGTTCTTTCAGAATTCTTTCTACTGTCTGGAGCCAAATCTTTCTACCTGGAAGCTCAGACTCCACAGCACTCCCAAACCTTTGAATCTTTTGCCCTCCATGCTTTATCTTTTCCCTTGTTAGTTATTCCCTTATGATATTCAATTGGTTAATGTTTATTTGAACAGCTACTATGAAAACCCCACTTTTAAGTGCCGTGAGTTTCTTTGTCAATCTTACCCTCCAGAATCCATATATAAATCACTTTCCTCATGAAACCTTTCTTGATTATTAAAGCCCATACCAAGTGCTTTGAATTCCTTTACTAACACAAATGCAACTATCCCCCACTTCCCCGATTTAGGACACAAATGCTGTTCTACAACATTTTCTAATGGGTTTTCTGGCTGAATGTTTTTTCCTTGACAAGATGACAAACTCAGAGTAAGAGCAGTGTTTTCTGTGACTGCCCCATGACTCTCACCCTCAAGACCTTGCAAAAGACCAGGCACAGAAACATTTAATCCTTTTAAAATGTAAGTACCTAAAGTAGAAGGAACTGACTCAAGCCAGGATGTAGCTGTGAGGACAGGGTGGCAGGAAATGACAGGAAACCTGCATATGGAACTGAAGAAGCAGCTCAGAGTGTCTTGCTTTGAAGTGACAACAGCCAGAGACGGAGTCAGGAGTGGATGGAGGAGCCAGGCACTCAGAGCAGATGCTTGTACTAGCGGAGGTGGGTAGTCTGAGCATTGAGGTTTACAGATCACAGGGCCAGAGGAATCAGCCAGCTCTTAGTCCATGGTAAGGGACAAAGTCTTCACTGGTAGGCTTTTAAACTTTTATGGCCAGAAGGGCTGGCTGTGGTTGGTGTAGAGAATGAGCAACTGGGGCGGAAACAGAAGGGAGGGCCTCAAGCCAAAGGCACAGGACTCAGCAGCCCTTTAGAACCCTAGATCAAGCAGAGTTGCCTGGTGCCTGCTGACAATCTCCAACCCACTTTCAGGCCTACTGCGCCTAGGCATGAAGTTGGGAGGAGGACCACAGAGAGGAAGACAAAATCTACCTTTGGAGAGTGTGTGATCTCATGGGAGACAGCACATAGGAAATGAGGAAGGGTCAGGAAGCAGTGACTAATGTACATTAGTGCTGAGGACAAGTGCTGCTGCTGGAGGCCATGTGAAGGCACCATAGAACCCTGGGGCTAGTTTTTGTGATTGTAGGATCACAGAATCCCAGAATTTCAGAAATGAAGGGGACTTTACAGATTGGCCAGGTTAGCTCTTAATCTAATTTCTACTGGGGAAATCAGAGATAATTAGTGATTTGCCAAGTTATTTAAGTTAACATTTGTGAATCACCTAGTCTGGTCTTGACAATTGAGCACACCCTCCTCTATGTAAATTTGCCTACCATGGTCCCTCAGAGGCTCAGTCATGAAGCTGAGGTGGTCACAGGCTCTTTTGACTCCCAGTTCCTACACTTTGCTGATTTGATGTCAGCCTCATGAAGAGGCCCTTGGTCATGCCTGACCTTTGGGTACTAGGCCTCACCAGATGACTCTCCAGTCCCCACCTCTGGAGAGTACCTCTGGCCTTCTTGATTCTGGTCAGTGGGTCAAGAACCTTAAGTTGCCTCTGTTTCAGAGGCTCTGTTTCAGAACCTCTTTGTATGTCCAAGATGGGTGAAGGTGGGAGGTTTGTGGGAGAGTCAGGCAGGGGCCTAAGAGGAGCAGCTGGAAAGAGGATGGGACCCACAGTCCTCATTGCTTCCTTATTGCTCGTGAATGTACCAGAAACTTCTTTCCAGTTTTCTGTGCAAAGTCCTGTTACGAGTGACCTAGAAGCCAGGGCGTGAGAAGCAGAGGGGTTGTAAGGATGCAGGATTCTTGGTCTTCTTTACCTGCCTTCACCTCCATCAGAGCAGACTCACCTGCTCTCATCCCATGGTTATGCTGACTCAGTCAATACTTCTCCAGTGACCCTTTGGCACCTCTTTAATCAATCTACCCCAGTTTCCCCTGGACTGATTTTCAAGTGGTTGTTCAACGAGTATGGAGAAGGATGGAGCTATCCAATGGAAATAGAAAGCTGGCCTAGGTAGAGAGATAGGAGAGCCCTAGGAGTGCTTGTAAAAGGGACTCCTTTAGGGCCATGGAGAGCATGGGGGAGGGTCTCAAGTGGGATGAGAAGGAGGCAAGCGATGCAGGGTGTTGCCAGCTAGCAAGTGGTGCCAGGTCAAGAAGTCTCAAGCTGGGCGCCGTGGCTCATAATTGTAATCCCAGCACTTTTGGAGGTAGGGGCGAGAGGATTGCCTGAGAAAAGGGGTTCAAGACCAGCCTAGATATCTTGGCTGAATGTCATCTCTGCAATAAATCAAAAAAATTAGCCAGGCATGGTGGTGTGCACCTGTAGTTCCAGCTACTTGGAAGGCTGAGGTAGAAGGATCGCCTGAGCTCAGCAGGTCCATGCTGTGGTGGCCCTGAGCATGCCACTGCACACTGGCCTGGACAGTGAGACTCCAAATTAAAAGAAAATGAAGGCTTAGTGGCCACCAGAGCAGCAAGTATCATCTGTTGTTTCCTCTTCACACCAAGATCTGGAATTCCATGCAGCTCTTACTTATTTTGCATGATTGGCAAGGCCAAAAGGGAAGCTTCAGCAGAATAACAATTTGGCATCCCCTGAAACTAGTGTTCTCTTAATATTTCTTCAACAGTTTTTGGTTGATAAAAATCAAAAACCTCTTCATGTTCAAAATTAGGGATTTATTACA